ACACTCAAATCGCCTTCCCATCATAGGCTTTTTTGTCGAACGTTTCACGCTCTTAAACAAATCCTAATAAAATGCTGTTAAAAGGTTGCTCATGGAACAAAGTTCGCATGCCGCACATTATTACTGATGAAATTTTGAATACAGTGCAGCTGTTTCTTTCCTGTTACTAATCGCTGGCGGTTAGTTTGTGACGGCTCAACTGCTGTCAAAAGTCCAAGCAGCAAGTAATGAGCGATTCTCATGGTCAATATCCAGTACAGTACGTTCTTATTTTTTAGTGGTATGTAACGCGCTGTTTGAGTGGTAAACGCATTTCGAGTTCTAAAGCCTTCTGCTATTCGAAATAATATAAACGTAGAAAATGCGATGAGTATATTCCCCTACGGAAGGAGTAAATATAGGTATACCACGCGGACGAAAAGCAATAAAATACAACTTCTTTTTGGACTATAATATATTTTCATTCATAGACTTTTTACTTAGTCACTGGTACCATTAATATGTAGCCAAATTAATTCCTAATTTCATTAAAAAAGCAAATTTTGAGATGATGCTAGTTCATCTGCTAGAGATTTTGTATCCGATTAAACCGAGTAAAACGGAATCGTAAATCAGCTGTTACTCTGCTCTTCGGATTGATCCAGCTGGTATACTTATGTTCTTTATATATCCGCTTGCATATGATCGCAACACTGATTTTATCGGTGAGGTTTCGATCGATATACCACGGTCGTCTGTATTGGAGCACAATTCAGTCACAGGTCTACTTTGTCCTCCCGTCACTCTCCCTTTTCTACGATGACCTCAATGTCGCGACGCATCCATTACTCTTGGATGTTTGCACCTGTAAATCTACGCGTAACATATTGAGTCTCCATGCAAATTTGCTAGCAGTTCAACTCTACGTGGCAAAACAATGGTTTGGTGCAATGGAAGTTCTTATTACGGTATCTGATAAAAACAACAAACAAAGGCAGCAATATATACCCACGAATTCAGTATATGAACTCGGTTTGTTTACACGGATCAGCTAACAAGGAAAGTGGAGCCAGAACGACGCGTCAACCGTGGATACATCGACAAAACAAAATGCGTTCACAGTCAACGTGATTAAATATACGGTTAATAGTGAGTGAAAATCGAAACCAAATGCAATAAAAGTGCGAATAATACAGGTTTTCTTAAGGTAATTTTGAAACAACGAACACTTCGGGTCCTTTCATCATTAGCGATAACTGAAATCATTCTCTGAAGAAACGAATTAAACGAAAATCTTCTATGTATTCTGGAGTTGTGGGGACGTTTGAGGAATGGGGAAATGTTTTAGGTTATTGTTTATCTTCATCATAAACGTACTTATTTTGCACTGCCGGGGAAACATTTAAGCACAAACGAATAGTTCCATCAACGATGCTTGTACCATATCTGCCACGATCCATTTTCAAATGTTTACCAAGTAATTTAGAATAAAAAATGCAGTTTAACGAAAAAGGTTTTTCCGTTGACTCATCAATTGGCCTGTACGTCACATTTTATATTACATCATTCTGTATAGAAAAGAGGAAACAATATTATTGGCTTTTCAAACGTTAATTGCGGTTGTTGTTTTCCGTCTCAATTTCGCAAAACCGGATTTGGCTGATCCTACCATCGAAACTTACGATTGATCCGTGTTAATTGTATGATTTGTGGTGAGATTTTGAGGGTGAGATGGAGGCGGAAGAGGATGAAGATGAGAGGTGGAGGGTGACGGTAGGTTGAGTTATTTCACAAATTGGTTTTGGGCTCACAAATGGGATAAACTAGATGAATTCCAACTGCATCTGCGGTGGTTTCGGATTCGGTTTTTAATCGGCTTTGATCTGCGACCCCGAACACACTAGAGAGGCCGAAATGTTTCAGGCACACTCACTGTGTGATCGGAAGAGGTGTGAAACGATGGTATTTGCAATAGTTTTAATCACACTAATGTTCAGCCAGACTGGATGATGTTCTTGAACTCGTGTAGATGGACGCCTGCTCGTGCGGCCCATATACGTTGCTCCACAGGAACACGTAAACAGGTACATACAAACTGAGACTGCAGAAGCAGGAATCATGTCTTTGAGCTGCGAACACAAGGTCGGTCCGGACGTAAATACAACACGTAATTTTGCCGCGTGAAAAGTATTCTCCAACGCAGTTCTTAGTTCTGCGGCTAACCAACTCCGCGATTGTATTCCCTTTGAAAGGAAGAGAAATGTCAACTGGCCTCTCCTCTGCGCTTGAAAGTCTTTCCCTCGAACGGTTATTTCGCAAAACGTTCTTGATAGCAATTTTGTGGGAAAACATTACGAATGAATGATAGTTTCGCATTTATGGTTTCATCGGTGATGGGCGATTTTACTTTCATGACGTTTGATTTAGCTTTGTGTTGTGGCAAATTAGCCAAACCAGTAGATTTGATTGGCTGCATTCGTGGGTAGCTCACCTCCCTCAAACTATCTGGTGTAGACTGTTTTAAAACCGAATCGATGTACATAATTTTTATTTTGGTAAAATTCAAACATGTATTATTATCAGGTTCTGGTTTTGAAACATCTACAAAAGCCTTCTGCAGCTACATGTGTCACTCTCGAGACTATTGCTCCCATCTTCGGGTTAGAAAACAGTAATTAATCAGCTTTTTGAAAATTCTTTATACTACAGTATCTAAACCTCAAATAGTACTATCCATCTCACAGTTTAAACATTTAACAGACATGATTGCTTGACCACATTGAGCAATACTGAAAGAACGCTTACTTTTTGTATGCCACGTATTAAATTCATTAGATTTCATTGAACTCGATCTTAAAGTCTTTCTTCAGCCGTCTGTTTAAATCCCCATCGGCTATTTGTTTCAGCCACCATACCTAGGTCGATTTTGCGTTTGAAGTTAGGTATAGGTAGGTAAATGGTTTGAATAGTCGATCACTTTCGTGAGGTTTCCGTTTGGTTTGAGCCGCGGACGTTTGGTTGTTTAACTTTCTTCGCCGGTTATGTGCATATTTATCAATCAGTATGAGCTTGCGTGGAGGCTGAGTTTATTGATCGATTTAAACATGTGCCATTCAATCAGTGACTTTGGCAGCCTCACATGCTGCTTTCTCTGAACCGATCGACTGAGAGGACCACCCAAATTTAGTCAATATGCAGCCGCGTGCACTGGATAAATAAGAAGCGGTTCTGCGTTGCCATGTTTTACCAATCTATTCCCATTGTCTGCTGGTATATTGTGCAAATGTTTCCCCTCAAGTGGCGTGTATTTTCTATCTATCAACATTGCTCTATTTATTGTTATCCCATTTGAAATGGAACTATGATCCTTACTTTTCTGGAATCAGATTAACCTTCCTGAAGTGCCAGTCTGAAGAATGAAAAAACAGAGTATTGTCCGTCAACTTTGTTTTCGGTAGAGTTTAGTTTCCGGGCTCAGCCAACAAGAAATTCTGTTGTATAATCACAAGACTACTCACCTCGTTTAGAACTTCAAACCGGTTTATAGAAACCAGACCATAAAAATACTCGGTAAAGGATGGTTGTTTATTACCGAAACATTTTCTAAACATTTCCTAGGCGACTAAACAAAACTCACTCTGTTCTGTCAATCAAATAAACCTCAAATAAATTCCTTAATAAGGCACAGCATTGAGGAATAAGTTGCAGATATTTACACATTAATGATATAGTTATTCATAATCTGTTGAAAATACCCCGAACAGACATAATACTTCTGAATGTGGAGCGGTTCATGGACGCCTACTCAATAATCAAAATATTTAGTCTATTGCTTTTTCACGCTGTAGGTAAATTACGCGCCCACCGGCCAAATGTCTCTCTCTTGTTCGCATTCTTTCTACATAGTACTTCAACATCAGTGTACATATGCATTATATTTCACACCATCTACACCGTATTCGGTTTTTACACAAACGTAATATTCAAAGAGAACAATGCAAGGCGAGCCACGTACTCAAAATGCATCACAAACCAGTTCGGTCTGCAAGAAGCACACGAACACAAACACACACCAAACAATGATGGTCTCATTCATCAGCAAACTGTCTGGATTGTTTATTCACTAATTTCTACATAAATACTATGTACATTTCACGCGTTCAAAATAAAATAAAAAACTGTAGAATCGGGCTGAAACTCGAAAATGTATCTGAATTCAATCAGTTTTGCCACTTCCAAACACTATCCTGTTTTGCATCCTGTCTCTGTGATTTTCGATAGGATTTCAGTTTCCTTCACATTAAAATCGATTCATACGTTGTAATTGAAATGTTTTGATTGGTGAATTTTGTTTCTACTGGGAACAATCAAACAAATATCGTGAAAGCGAACAACTTATTTCCACTTGGTAATTTACATGTATCGACTTCAGTAGAAGTGCAATAGATTTTCGAATTATCCATGATGTGATCATAAACGATGTGGAAAATTGTCCCAATAAAACCGATAACTGACTAAGGTTACCATTTTGTCATTTCTGGTAATCTGTACTATTAGGCTCAGCTTTTTGCATTCCGTTTCTCAACTTACTTTGCTCCGCATTTAAAACAGTTTTCAAGACAACTTGGCCTGATTAATTAAGAATGCTTTTCATATGGTGGGTTTCGAACCCATGAATGGATGTTGCCTTTGCTTTTTTACAGCTGAGCTATGAAGCCACACCGATAGCACTGATGTTTTGACATGGGATTCACCCATCGAGCTTACAGAGGCATATGGCATTCGCCAGGTGGCACAGATAACTGTCACAATTAACTAAGAGGTTCATTGGCAAAATTGGATGGTTGTTTCCCGATTTTCTTGATTTCAGCATCAGTCAACGAAAAGAAAATCACTGTCGTGTATAAGCCGTTCTCATTTAATGAAGTTGATCCGTGTACGTTAGATTTGTTTTCCCCCGTTAGTAGAACAATTTACAGACCACTTACTGATTCGTCCACGTTTTGGTTTGTAATAAATAGGTATTGACTCGACAACGAACCTTATTTGAAAAAACTCGCAAGTTTCTTAAAGACAAATGGAAAGCAGATGTAAAGCGCATGCTGGACGCGGAAAACAGTCTGATCAAAACAAAATCCGCATATTATCAGCGTTGTCAGACAGGAGTCAAACTGCGCGAAGAATTAGCAATGGCCCAGAACCAACTGAATGAAATGAATGCTGGTTTGGTAGCTTCTGGGTTGGGTTCCGGCAGCACCAGTGGTCCAGTTAGCCCTGGTCCCGGATCTGTTGCTTCGGGACAGACTACTTCGTTGGTCAATACATCGAGTGGAACAACTCAATCTCAGACGGTGGGAAGTACGGCAAGCTTGACTCAGGATATCACGGATAGTGCGCCTGACTCTACGGCTACATCGTCCTCGTCCACATCGAACCAAGTGGCGAAGCAACGTGCAAAGGTCGAACGACTGGAGAAACAATTGAGTGATAATGACAAGAAGGTAATGCTTTTCAATATAAGTTAAAATATCATGGAGTTTGTTCAGTGTATCTCAATACAACAATTAATGTTACGCTTCCCTTATACCCGATAAATGTCCCCAGGTAACTTTGAATTACTGTGCATTTTTAAATCCTCGAGATGAATAACACAAGCAATGCCTCAAGGGCACTTGTGATGTGTGCACAATGGTAATGTATACTAAATACCGGCTTAAGAAATTCTTTCATCTACTGTTCCTGACCATCTAGGTGTAGAACTAGATTTTTCCAAAACATTTCCACACTTGGCGGTCGTTCAATGTTTGCCCGAGATTCCAAAATTTGCCCATTATTCATGAGAACACAATATTTGAGTGAACCATTGTTTACAGTGATTCATCCACTACCCTGGACCAATTACATTGACATTTAGTGTGTTTCAGAATTTTTCTTTCACTCGTTCCAGTTGAGAGTGGCAATATGGATTTCTTTAGCCTTGGTGTGTATATGGTTCGCTCGCCGCCACAGCGGTTGCAAGGTAGGGTTATCTGTTCTCGTAAACATACGTCTGGTGTGCGTAGTCAAATCCTCATCAGTCTGACAGGGGATAGTGTGTGAAACGAAAGTAACATTTTAAGGGTTTTTAGGGAACTCAGTGCATGATCAGAAAAGCGGATTAAGTGTCATCGAAAGACTTGAGTCAGTTTGGTGACGAACTAATTCCTTGCGCTCCCTCAAGCTACATCAGCAGTAAATAGTGGTATGTATTCATTGAAGGAAATTGTCTTGCAATGCTGTCAATACCTTTTACAAGAAAAACGTATACTACCAGCGCAGGTAGAATGTATTTATGATTGGTGTTCTTATAATATTGTGTGCTAAATGCAACTTACTCTTCTATCTTTTGTTCGTAGCACCAAAACAGCGTCACCTTTTAGGGGGAGATAGATATACAACGTTTTCTTTGGAGGCCTCTTAAATATTGTCATTTCAGATGAAGGTTATCAATGAATCGTTCGCGATACCCATTACTTTTAAGCATATCTTGTATATTGAGTGCTTCGTATATTAAGGTGGATTAGGATACCTCGAGAAAATGACAGAACTATTGACAGAAAGTCACGTAAAGCACAGGAAGCAAACAAACTGGGCGATACACCCACTGATTTTCTCTGCATTTGGATTCATGAGAATGCAAAGAAACCTAATCATATGTTTTACCTCAAGAACAGGAAGTTTACGTTCCGGATCCTGGACAGATTCAGTGATAATTTATCTGTATAGTGGTTTTCGAGTTCTACAACCTGGCGCAGTTAGTTATTAGGGAAAAGCAATCAACTATCACAACATTATTCAAGGTTTGAACAACTTTTTCAGGTAAAATGACGTGTGCGATGATCAAACGCGTAAAGGCACAATGAATACTAAACCGAATTGAACTACTGTTTCGTTTGACCAAACGCTTTGTTCATTTTTTACTTCTCAAAGAGGAATATTTTAAGAAAATTCAATGGATTCAACGTGTTATTGAATAGTTCAGTCGCAGAGCTGTCTATTTTAGGGGNATGGTACTGTCCCATCAAAAGGTCTGGGGTAGGCCAGTGTTCGATCTAAATAGCCTTTGTTTGGAATAAAATATCGTTTCATTCTGTATCAGGCCGTGCCAATTTTCGTTGTGTATGATGCAACTCGTTACTTTTGTTATTCTATTTTCTTTTAACTTTGTAAAGGTTCGCTCTGCACCAGTGATCTTTCTCGTTATCTATCTTTCCCGTTATCTATCTACTGACTTATTTGCCAAATCATTAATATAACACGGGTTACGACGGTAGTGACAATTTCAATCACTTTGGCTGATCCTGAACAATATTAATTCTGTTTCTGATCAGACTGACGAAATTAACCCGGTCAATTATTGCGTAGATTCTGATAGGCTCGGCTATACATATTTCTCCGGCGTCTCAGATTTCAAGATGCATCATCCGTACATGGTTGCCACTTATAAATCTGAGACTAATGGTTATTCACAGATCATCATTTTATTCCACCTTGCTTGCCGTCAAATTGCAGGAATGATTATATTCTGAAAGACCACCAGTGACACTTTTCAGGATGCGGAGCATTCTTTCCTTTCCAGTTCTCTGTATTGTTAAATGCAGTCTAAAACCGTGAATCCCATTCCAAAGTGGCAATTGTAGTCCACCAATAAGTCGTGATCCGTCTACCTATTTGGTGTTCCAGAAAGGATGAACACTCACTCAGCTGGTATAACTCTTCTGCTCTTCGAGTGTAAAAGGGCGTCATGTGCAATTTCTAACAAAAATGACCGGAAGATTTATCTTTGTCTTCATTTTTACAGGGAACTGTTTGTTCGAGTAGTGAAACGGCTCTTAACGGTGCTTGGGATAGCCCCTCAGGTTTTATGCACACGAGATCCTTTAAATGAATCTATGAAGTTAATTTCTTATCCTATGAAATCAAAGAACTATAATAATATCATATTTATTGTATGTGTAGCAGAATTTAATCAGAACGATGGCATCCAAAATTTAATCCCTACATTTTCAAATAATTAGTGAACGAATAACAGAGATGTTGGGTTCATTTAACGATAGGCAGTAAATAAGGTTCGATGTTTCGGACAGGCAACTTGCAATTCTTTGTTGTCCAAACCCTATATGAAATATCTCAAAAACAGTTTACATTTCACTTGAACAGTTCTTTTCGAAACCGCTCTCAGGCCTCATTCATTTGTTTGTGACAGCGTACATTCACTTGTCATCAGTTTATTGGAAGCGAATATAATTTGAGGACGAAACGGAAGTTGGAGATCGGGTATGTATGCCCATCAATTGTCAATTCAAGGTTAATAACTGTGAACTTATTTATTTTCCAACAATACATCCCTGCCAGAGTACCACTTCGATCAAAGGAAATCGATAATAATATAAAATTGTCCACTATTTGAATTACTAAACTTTGCCAAGCTGCACAGCTTTCGCTCGAGAAGCGCTTTGGAAATCCTATCCACGGGTCGAAGAACAGAACTACATGAAATTACCAACTATTTGTCGAATACAATTCTGTCGTAAGAATAATGATCCAGATGCACATAAATCGACCCACTGGTTGGTGATGTGGAGGACTGACGCATTACTTCGTGTCATTATGTCCTGTCTTGTTTTGTGTCCAACGTCAATACACCGGCCTTACCTGACAATCATGGGAATATGGACAGGAATCTGAATTGGTTGCGGAAAAGGAAAGCACCAATTGATCAATGTGTGTACTACGTGTACTGCATCTCGCCGTAACTAATTGGAACACTTTTTCTCATCGATCGAGTTGAAACAAATAATGATCGAAAAGTCATGTACTTAAATCTCGATTTTGCATCACCAGCACACTTTGTTAGGGAAGCGACAATTTATGTAATCCGGAGGGGATATTTTCGGATAGAAACAATTTTATTGATAAAATCAAAAGAACGAGTTCTTCGGAATGGTCTGTAAGATGTTCCAGGGAACAAATCTCATCAGTACTTATTTTTATCCTTGCATTTTTGATGTGCGCCTAAACAAAGTTTGAACAGTTTTACTCTTCAAGTTGCGAAATATTTTCCCCGCTCTAATCCAGGAAATTGAACAGATGTATGCCTATCGAGAAGCAGTTGAACAAGCCAATCATCGTTTGTGTGAGTTGGAAAAGAGCAAGGTACGTTTTAATTCCACACTTGTAAACAGAAACTTTTCAATTTACCACGCCTTCTTTCCCACCTCACGGATATTCATGGTTTCAGAAAATAATCTCAGATTTATCTAATTTCGGTCTGGTTTGGTTCAAATCCAGTTAAATATTCAATGTTCGTCTTTGGTTACCATATAATATCATTGGTATGACATATTTTGGACAGTAATTTGTACTGAAATAACAAATGCGGCATAATGTACAGACATGTTATTTTCACTTCGCATACCCTCGAACACTGAGAAACAAATTGGTTCTTCTGTTGTTTCACCGCCGATTGCGTAGAATCATTGTAACAATTATACGATAGCCTAAACAGTAAAATAAAATTTATTTCCGTAAACAATCCTGGTTTTCCACTTTTTTTCCGGAAAAAGCGTTCATTTGTCTCCCGTTTTTATCGGGGTTGGGCGAATAGATATTTATCAGTTGAAAAAGTGTGCGAAAAATCTTGGACTTCTTTTATCGGTGTCCAGAAACGATTTTTGGTCCAAGTGCATATTTTTAGGGTGAGAGTAGCGTAGACAGTGGTGCTGTCAGTCTTTCTTTTAGATAAGACAAGACAATTGACCTATAACAAAACCATACATGACCCGGTTCATTCAATGGATGACAGTTAATATCAATATTCGTTGGCAATTTTCACACTATTGGACATAAGGGTTTCGGTGTACGAGTCTTTCTCATGAAATGAAACTCAGTTAACAATCGGGACCTCAAAGGCCAATTTTCTTACGAAATTTTATTAGTTCTTTGGAAGCATTTACTATGCGCCATTGCGGTTTCTTCCGGATCACCAAAGCTAGGCACTCGAAACCCGATTGGGATTAGTTGAACTGAACAAAACAGTTCCTCTCCGAATTTATTGGGTTCCCATTGTGCTATAAGAAATCGAGATATGTTTTACCCTGGATGGTCGAACTATGACAACATGTACTTAGCTCTCTTTTTATGTTCTCCATTCATATATTGGAGTCAGGAATCGTTTGTTTTTCTTTAGAAGTGCAAACCTACTTTACATTTCCAGACTGGTCGTTTACAGCTGATTTTGATTCGTCTCAGAACCTCTGCAAACACGGTTTCACTTCTGCTTGTGGTCAGAATCTGATGGACTGCCGATTAGATCTGACAACAAACCAAATGAATAGGTAAAACGCTAATCAAATAATGACATCAATGTGGTAGCTGAAAATGTTTAGACCTGAACTAAAGCACTCACTGATTTACTGAGCGGGAAGCAGTTTTTTATTTGAACCCTACAGAACGTGTGCAGTTTCACTAACTAATATAGAATTGTAGTCTGTGGTCGGTTACATCACCGACTCGTTTTGTGAGTTATCGTGGAAGTATTAGAACTTTTGAAATTATAATGTTTTTCAGGACATCATAACGAATGTTGCCCCAAAGCTGACAGATTAACGAATAAGGTTTGTGGCTTCTTTTGCCCCGGCTGCCTAATATAACACTCAGTTTCGCACCGATATTAGACTTCTATTTGCAAACGTTTCGTACAACTGAAGATTATCTCATGCTTAATTATAAATGTTATCCGCATATAGGTATGCACAATGCATATTTAAATGAATCGATTTTCAGTGAACTGGACTTTGATTCGAAAGAGCGGGTTTTCCGGTAGAGTTTAAGTATCATAAAAACTCTGTTACTTTATCCACTTACCATATGAGATCTATGGAATTCATAAACTGCCGCTTACGTGGATCACTTTATCACATCAGTATTAAGCTTTAATTTGCACTGATAAGTGGCCGTTTTGATTACTCTATATCGGTTAATGATAAAAGAGTTGGAATGCAAATCCAGAATGCAAGTAAACTAGGTCTTCATTGAAAGTGATTAGATACAGGAGCATCGGCTTTTGAGACATTCGATCACACGAGTTCATTGTATTTAACCGGTGATGGTGGTGGTCCTTAAGTTTTCCAGCGTTCAGAGTGTACAGCACAGTGCCGGAGCACAAATGCGCCTTGAAAATATGTGGCGCAAAAGTCCGCTGGGATCCTTGTATACAAATAATGCAAGCGGTATTTTACCTGAAGCCTACTTTTGGCTTAAATTTATTTTGGAAAACACTTTTTATCAAGGTTCTTCTGTTACTTCTTTTCTCAACTTTGTGGAAGACGCAGAGTTTGTTTTGCAGCACAGAATACATGCAAAGCTACGAAAATCCCTCCTAATGAAAATATAAAGAGTTAGTTTTGGTAAAATGCCATCTGCACAATGTTTCACTTGTGGACCAGCGAACTTTGAGAAAAAGTGCTGAAATGTAGGGTTTTAGTTGCGGATTCCAATACAAACGTCAGAACTATGACTGACGTGTTTATTTAAGCTGTTAGATTCATTTTCTCAAGTTTGTGATTATCGAGTTTTGTTTATTAATGTTAGCAGAGTACAGTTATTTTAGTTCGCACATTTATCAATAACGCTACAGATCATGGTTGCCAATAACTCTAAAACCCGGTACTCACCCTTTGACCCATGGGTGTAATTAGACTCAAAGTGGTCGCAGAATGAGAACAAAGTTCATTCCAGAAATTTACTCGGGTACAGGTTTATGTTTTGGCAAGCGTCACGCTAAATCGATAGATCTTGTGCTTTTGTAGTACCGATTTGTACATTATATTTTTGCATGGTGGAAAACATTTTTTAATTTGTAATGACCGGCAGTTATTATAGTAAACTGTGATATCCCGCAACAATTAATCCTTTTATATACAAATGTTAAGGAGGTCAATGTCTAACAGTGAGCATGAATGACTACCGTTATCTTTTAGTATTCACTCAGATCAGAGTTACGAGAGTTAACACTAAGTAGAGTTTAGCTAACATGCAGCAAAAAACCGGTATTTATTATTTGCACACTATATCTTTCATTGAACCGGTTGGCTGATCGCTCTTTACGGGAGAATCTATTGTATCTTCTCACCTATGAAGTCATGTTCCATATTGATTTCTGTTGGCGATAGCTAAGAATATCCGACAGATTTAGGGCATCGGTAGACGAACTGTTGAAAATCGGTTCTCGTAGCTCGGCGAACGGATGAAAATGAATCTAAGCCCTGTATTATGGTTTCCTCAAATCAGATCATGATATGCGGTAAATATGCAGAATTTCTCCCATTTTTGCAAACTATTTAAGAAATTCCATTGACGTCGAAAGCGAAATTATAAAGATTGGTTGAGCGAAAACTGAAGTTTTCTTATCTGACGAACAGTAAACGTATCTAGGTCGTTGTTTTGTAACTTTACAAGTTCCCCATGTTGAATGAACAACATCCTTCGGAGCGAAAAAAAAACAAATTTCCGATCCTGAGAAAAACTTACCTGAGGTTTTAGTTATTGTATTCATTTAGCACTTGAATAATATGCAATCCCTATGTGAACAAAACTACGGTTTTATTACAAACTTGGTCTTTTTCGTTTCACACTTAGATGGAAATTCTCTGTGATACGAGATTGACGATTCGGAAGAGCGATGAAGTAGTTAAAGATTCTCTGGCTGAGCTATTCAATCACTTATACGCCACAAGAATATCTATGATAAAACAGGTAAGTCATGTCGATGCATTTCATTGTATTGTACTATGACCAGAGTTTGAAAAGATGTTTATACATTGCCGATCGTCAACAAACTTTTGAATTGTGCTCAACTTTTTATGCCTCTGGCTGCGAACGATAATGACGTGAAATTGCATCTCAAATGTTTTTCTTATAGCGCGGTAATTGAATAAAAGGAAACTGTGTGATCTCCTCTCCCTATATGCTTCTCCTCTCAATACGCTTTTGTGGGTTGTGCACATTCTCTATCCTATAATTTACACAACAATCGTGTCCGTTCCCTTTTTCTAAGAATCCCGTCGTCTGATTTCTGTTTGTTTGTTTGTTTGTAGTCTTTGGTTTTTAGATAGGAATGCGTTTATCCAAATGAAGGATTGATTTTTCATATCACGCTTCTACGCTAAATTCATGCGTATATTTTCCTCTTTCATCCTTCTGTGAAAGTACGAGTCGATGGCCACTGCGTTTCAGGACTATGTACCGTGTAGTGAATATCGCGCACTGATCGATGAACATATACAAAAGGGAGTTGAAACCTATCCAGAAAAGTACCAGTTTGCTGGATTTCACGAGGCTTCAGCATCCGGCGGAAAGTGAGTGTCCCACTCTGGTCACCAAAATGTGCCCCACAAATCCAGTTATCAGGAATATTGTGCTTTCTCAGAGTTTGAGTAACTCAACCATTTTATCATGAAATTGCGCTTCCAAAAAGGGAAAAGTATTGAATCGTGGAAAATATTGTTTTGTTCCTTCGGTGAAAAATTATTTATCAATAATCTTCTGGTTGAAAACCTGTTTTACGGTACATTCAAGAAATAGATAATAATGTATCGCGTATTCAGTTATGCAAAACAGGATAAGTTGTTCGCTTAGAATTTATTTCATTCGCAGTCTGGTTTCAGTCCTCAGCGGTTAGCGTGTGTTACTTTTATATCTGTGGTGGATTGTTTTCTCTTCTTGGGGATACTTGGTTTAGCGAAACATCCTGTTGGACTTTCCTCGAAATGTTTAGGATAACGAAAACAGACCATGAAAATGTTATTAACTCACGTGAATAATACCAACTTATGGTTTTGGTTTAATTTGTCATCTTATTATTCGTTTGCCATCTTTTGATCGAAAATCCAGTAAGATATTCGTTGTCACCTGTAATGTAGTAATTCTTACAACTGACTGAATTGATCCATCCAAAATTAATCTTTCACAGCTTACTGTATTTTATTTTTCAACGGTATGTTTAATCAACACTCGTGTTATCGAAATTCGGTTATGGTTTGCCATTCGGCATCGAGTAACAGCTACTATTTTTCGGCTCTACCCAACAAAGTTTTGGGAAAAGTTACCTTATCGCAAACACCTGTTCCAGCATATCTAATCCCAATAAATTGCACAATATTATACTACTATACTGCACCTGTCGCGATTGCGGCAAACATTAGATTCACGCCTACGGTGTACTATTCACGTTTGACAATTCGGGTTAGTGGCGACAGTCGGAAACTGTTTGTTGGGTTGAAGACAACCAACCGAGTTCCTTGTCTTCTATTCGCCATTCATTCATTTAGAACACAGCCTAGACGAATACCCAGACGCACGTGGTGTGTATGTGTGTTTGTATGTGTGCAACACAGTTCTGAATAGCCTAATGATCGAATATTGGGTAGTAGCTATTTTGGTCTCACTTGGGGACAAGTCTATCCCTCCCCCACCCAACGTCTAGCTAATCCAGCACTCAGACAGCTGTAGTATGGGGGTAGTGGGGCCTACAGCCACTTACGATTCGTCTGACTGCAATTGTAAGTGAAATTGAGCGTGGCATCATTGCACCATTAATTCTTAATCAAAACAACGAAATAGTCGCAAATTATGCACACTTGAATAAACAAGGCAAACGGCAACTCCTAATGAGGACCATTGGAACACACGGGAAAATACTTCCAACTGTCCGATTACATGGAACATAGTCAGAACATAGAACAGGTCAACTATGTTCTCAGCGTGTCTTACAATTAGAATTAATTTTGTTCTTCCGAAATGGATGGTTCCGTACGAAAAATCAAGATTTCCATCTTCATTATGAACATGAGATGAATGCATTTGTGAACTTCCTTTTGTTGCTGTTTTTGTGATTGTTAGGTTGGACGCAGTGACAGGTCGATTCATGGGTCGTTCAGCTGGTTCAGCTAAGGATGCGTCAGACAACGATCCTTTGGGTACGTCGAAAAAATGAAACGTATTTTTATTAATTCTGCATACTGAACACAGAGCGGTGCAATCGAGAATGATCCAATCGCATTTCCCTTTGACTCGCTTCGATTGCAGCTTGTGAATAACAGCAATCCTTCTGAAAGTATTTTATGTTTATATGCTTACTGCAAATGGATACTTTGGAAGACTTTTAGAGAGTTTTGGAAAACAAATCGATGTTTGTTACAATGTTGCAATTTGTGGTACAGATACGGATTTCGTACTTTTCTTTTCTACCAATTACACTACTATGGAATTAGAAGTAGTATGTTCCTTAATTTGCAATTAACTCGCTATCCGAATGTTTACTAAAAATCAAATGCATGTAATATATCATTTGCTTTCCACGGAAGAAAATGTTGTTACCATCATTGTCGAATATTAGAATTGCTTCTTTTATAGCTTTGTGAAACAATTGGCGAGAAAGCGCTGCTTTGTAGAACATGTATAGAGAAATAAAGCAATCAATCGAAAAAAACTGTTGATCTTACTCCACCGACTTTACTGTTACATCGCTTGAGAGATCTAATCGTAATTGTTCGCTCGGTCTGTGTTTTGTTTATGGTATTTGATTATTCCAAGTTAAATCTGACATTTAATACCTGATAAACCTCGATTTATACTGTAAATCATTTTAATGCCTCGACTGTTGCACTTATAGGTAATGATATGTAAATATTGAATTCGAGCCATGACTTTTTGTGATCAGCTCAACATTAGATAACTTCGATTGAATGGCTAATCAGGAAAACCTCTTGTCCCAATTATTTGTGGATTGATGTCTTATGCACTTATATAAATCCAGCTAGTCTTATTGACATTGAGTCCGCTTATCTCAATGAGAGAATTTTGGCAAACTAGCGATCTGCAATATTATTTTAGTCTAACCAAATGGGCGTCATCAACATACTGTGGATCTCATTTAATGATCCCAAATAACTGTTTACAAGGGACAGCTGATTCTCTGAATTATTTGTGACCTGAAACCTATTGGAAGCCTGTAAACTGCATAGCGTGTCGTTTAGTTTTGTATTTGGTGATACGCTTTAAGTGGATTCAAACCGTCACGATATTTTCGTGCAATCCGCATATTGGATATTTCTTAAAACCGAAGTTACCGGAGCATTTCGACAAGACTGCCTTTCACGTTAGCGTAAGTCAGATTTGTGAGGGAAATCATTGTATAGTGCAAATTAACATCCTCTTTGGCTCTCGGTATTTTCCTTTGAAGGTGCTCATCCAGCTGTTGGAAAGCCAACTGCTACCTGCAAGACAACGAAGTGAGCGTGATAGTTTTGTTTTGCATTGTATTGTATTGTATAGCTTTGTGCAGGCAACCAAGCCACATTTCGGTCAAAAAATATGTTCAACGTTAAACTCGGATAAAAAATGAAAAGTCACATTCAACAGTGATAAAACTTAAACAGAATAGTTCGTTTTGGCTCTTCATCTTGTCAGTTAAAATACGAGGCAGATTGGTTATCGTTGAATGGCGATAACCTTTTATGCAGGAGGGTAAGCGACGGCAATTGGATCCTGTTGTAGCGTGGGATCGGCAAGCAGATAGATTGGGATGCGGCAGATGGCTAGGGTCGTTGAGTATCTTATGGGCGAAATTCTCGCATGAAGTATAATGAAAAGCACACAACTTTGTGATTAGAGTGTCTAAGGAATGAAAGTAACACGCCATACCACACCGTAGCCAGTAAGTTTACAATGCAAAAACTGACCGTGTTTTTAGACATAGACGATGGTCATCTGTAGCTGTAATGCTTATTTATTCAGGGTTGAGCATCCAATTCTCGTTTCTCCTATCCGAGATCCGGTAACATATACCTTTCTAGACTTATACTATTTTACGGTTTCTGGTCTCGGGTTTTGTAAGTGGTTTAACTGTGTATGGTTTGCGTGGTTATCTTCCTTCGATTTGAATTTTTAGATAAGCAGTGAATATTAAAGACAAATGGGGCTGGATACTGACAAAGTTGTATTCTCTTGTTCTATGCACGATACGCCCGCTAGCTGGAACGCGAAGTGCTCTGTGCATTCATTCCGACTCGGATTCAGAAGGTGAGGAAGATCCGGGTCCTAGTAGAGGAGGTGGTCTTGTTTCGACCAGTAGCAACGTTTTATCTTCCCTGGTTGAATTCGGGTCCAATCTGTTTCGACCGGACTCGAAAAAATCGGTGCGGGGAAAGCGTAATCAAGGGTCTGGTGGATCCGGCAACCAAACTGCAATGTCCGGCTCTGCGACCACTGAATCTCTGGACACACTAACTGCTCAGCTTGCAAATCTGGAGAAGGAGTACATAGCTGCCTGTTATCCTATTGCACGATGTGTTGCCGCCATCGAAAAACAGCCAGGAGGCTTAGAAACACATGTAAGGTTTATTATATTCTCCTCCGAAACTGATATGAAAAAAATTCGTTCGTTTGTTTTCGGTTTCACATGTATCGATTTACGTTGCATATTGTTCAAACTGACAATTCGAAAGATGTTTCCATGAGTATTTTAACAATAAACAGAAATTAGATATATACAGGTAATAATAATTTACTGGTTCCGTTTGTATAATCATTCCGGATACCATTTTGATTTATACTTTTTACCGCCCACACAGTCCGATATTCAATGTCTTTGAATTTGTATGCGACGTAATTTAACAGCGTGTCAACTTTGTACTACTCTCCGCCTTTTTCAATGCATTAATTCCGACAGGGCATCTATCGTGTACCGGCATCCAAAGCCAAAGTGGCAAGTCTGCTGGAGTCGGTTCAGTCCAGCCAACCCATGACTCCGGAGAAGGCGTCAGATGATATTGCAATGCTTAGCCAAGAGCATCCACTGACACTAGCCGGTCTGATTAAGACACGGTTGATTGCCGTAAGTACCTTTTGCTTCACGGCCTATTATAGTTTTTCAACGATCATTCGGCTTTTTTATCAGTATTTCTACCTCAAGTGTGGTAGCTCCACAGTATCATTCTTATCTCTCGATTTCTTTTGTATACAGCTACCCGAACCCTTACTCACTTACAACCTCTACCCAAATTTCGTCGAACTCGGAAAAGTAAGTTCATCCAAAAGTCATGACTTTTGTTTTATGACTCTGTATGTAGTTGAAGGTTATATCTTTGTTACCGTAGAACCAACACATTAACTTTATTATTCAATCCAATCTTTACTTGCGTAGATGTACTACACTCGTTTTTATTTGAGACATGTTAAGGAAACGCGAACGTCAAACAAGTTTATTTTCATTTGGCAATAACCGAGACAGGATTGAAGATTATTCACACTGAATTATTCAATAGTTCAGTTATCATTCCAGCACCTCTAAAATAAATCCCAATGTTTCAAGTTTTATTTTGCAACCGAAGTCTTTTCATTAGTAAAATTGAATTGTTACAATGTTTTGTATGCATGAATCGTTTTACATGATACGTGCCTGGAAATGATTAATTTTGGTTAACCATTTTACCGGACAACAAATAACTTTCACTGGAACAGCTCACGCTGTCTGAGTTGACGAAACCTCTGTGAGGTATATCCAGGCTAGCAAACTTCCTCCTGCAATCATCTTTTCTCTAGATGTTTCTCTGCTCTTATGTATAAATAAGATACATACGTATCATGTGTTTCGTTGAAGACAGGATACTGTTTTCTATCATGCTTTTAGGAAATTCACTTGGACAATCGCTTAAGTAGATAGGTTACTTTTAAACGATTACATATAGCAGTTTCTGCTTGTAATTTCTTCGCGGTGAAATGGTAAAACATTTCGCATCTATTTTTTTCTGTAACTGATTCAATCATCATTCAATGAAAGTCATATTGTCGTGAAATCGTAAAATTATTATATCCTTTTCCTTTAAACAGGTGTTTGACGCTTCTGATGCGAACATTCTCAAAGAATTGGTGAAACGACTGCAACTTCTCATAAATCATTTAAGTCCGGGAAATAAGCGCCTCGCCGGTTTGTTGTTTCATCACTTGTACAGGTGAGTGCGATTACCGTTCGTAAGCGTTTGTATTGGTCTCAGTCACCATGTTTATTGGTTGTAAATTTTTCAGGCAAAACCGAAGTTTGTATTAATCTAAATCCCTCCAAGCCAAAGCAAACTTTTGGTATCCAGAAGATAAAACTATAACCGCGACAAGCAAAGCCTTTTATGGCCTAACACACTGATTGGTCGTCTAAGCGACATTGATAGATTTACTATATGGTATTCATGTGGTGTCGTGGCTAAATAGTTCAATGCGTAAAACCAAAGGTCCATTGTTTGGCATTCCGAATCTTATCGGACTACCTGTGTTAATATATTTAATCGTCCTCTGAGTCCAGGCTGTGTGCCACACAAAGAACGGATATAACAGCGTTTGAAATAAAGATATAAAGCCACGATTCGCTCGTGGACAAAATACTCCTTGTTCACGCTGAAGAAGACGAATTGTCTTGAAGGATTCACAACCAAAGCCTCCGGCTAGCCAAACAGTTTGTGAAAACCAAAATCCATTTTGAACCGGTATTCAGTTGATCGGTTGTTTCTGCTCGATCAGTTGGAAATGAGTTGTCCCAAACATCCCTATATTTTCAAGCTCAGTCGATTTGGTGACCGTTGCAATCAAAATATCGTCGATGAAAGCTGTGCATTTCTTCTTACTTAGATCACATTCAGATACCTGCAACTTCTTTGGACAGACTAGTTTACTTCCACTTACTTCGCCCCCATAACTACTAATTTTGGTTTGTTTTCTTTCTTGATCCGGTAAAGTAGACGGACATCCCACAATCGCGCAGATTTTGTACGAACCTCGCCAACAACCATTTACAGATATCCATTGTCCACAACACTTTCTGCGTGTCGACTGTGTTTTCCGTCGTATACTAGATAAATGGAAATAAAAATATATTTGTTATTATTTCATCAATAAAAACAGCAAATTGTACTGGATATGGGTTTCTCAACGTCGGCAATAAACACACATTATGAGAAATCAGTTCAAGAGGAATGCACATGAGAACAATTTTTCATCAAAACTCCTACTTCCAATTCAACTAGAGTATTCGTGGAATTTCTGCACAGTTCTTTCACTTCAGCGTGCGCTTCCCTAAAAAGCTGAAATTAAAAACCCAAGCGTTTAAACAGGAAATTAATGCGGCTGAAAAAAACAAATAAGGCATTCATGCACTCATGCAGTCTTAGTCCACTCAACCCGGCGTGTTCGTGCGGTATTAGCTGAATGAGAACTTTATCAGTATTTTAACTTTGAGAGTTTATGAATAAGGCATATGTCAATAACTCAGGCAAACCTTATCTCATTTAAATGCCCCTTTCGAAAGCGGATAACACAGCATTACAAAGCTTTTGAGTATGAAATAAATATATGCTTCTCAATGTGCTTATTCCCCAAGACTTTCGCTGGTACTTGAGCACGAGAAAGACCATGAGGCTGAGGCACTTATTTCACGTGATAAGATTGAGGGGAGGGAGCAACCGCACTGGATTACATGATTTATTCCCGGGACACAATTTTGCGCACCTTTACCGGTGCAGGGCGGTATGGAACCATAGTTACTATGTCTCAAAATGGAAGTTGGAAAATCATTCGAATGAACTCAGCGGACAGGCATTTGGTTTCTCTTGAGGTTGGAGGTGGCGGAGGGTTGATAAACGATGGTAGTAACAAGCAAACAGCTCACCATTCATGACTCATGGTTTATGGTTTGATAAAGAGATATCCGCTCTTGTTCACACAATAAAAGCGAACACAACCAGTCAACCTTGAAAGCTGAAAGATGTTATCGTCTCGTGTTGATTGGTGGATTGCTTCCCGACGCGAATTTCGGAAAAGACCAATGATCAGAAAACGTGTTTGATGTCTTAGGGTCTAGGTAAAGTACTGATATTCAAATCCGGAAATGAATAATCAATAAAATCTATCGGCTTCAACCGTTCAGAGGGAGAGAAAACATCGATCGTTTCCTACCATGTGTATATAATAGCAATTGCTTTATCTCACTAATTTGCCTGTTTGGAATGCTGCTGATACAATCAGTTTTCTCTGCAAAGACATCAACTGTTTCGAATTTAGAATAGCAACAAGTCTAACCGCCAATTCGTGTATTATTAACCTTTAAGTCCCCTACGCACACATGTTATTCCGAAGAATCGTTTTAAAGCGGTCGGTTTTTAAAATCAGGTGTTGCTATCAAAAGTTTTAGGCGGATTAATAAGCAATTAATTAATTAATTAGCAGTAAGTTCAATATCGAGGATTCGTTTTTTTGGTTTACTTGTTAATGTGTGTCAACTTATCACGCCGAACGTAGTGCATTGGGAGAAACCCTTAGATTTTTGAGTCTGAATGCGTGAAACGATCGTCTGTGAACTTCATTATACACATCAGTATTGGGGTGGAATCATTAGGGGTTGTGATAGAGTTATCCAGAGGAGGTTCCATCACAATACACGGGCTAATTCGTTATACCTAACCCACCATAGCGGCATTTTTCCTTCTCGGGACAGAGCTAGGGTTTCGAAACGTAAGAATTTTAGCATTAGTTCCTCCGTAGTCACTAGCATTTTTATAAACCCGTTTTTGCTATTCCGAACTGATCCGGTTTGAGGAATCCCCCGTGGATTTTTCGCAGACGAAGCTGTCGGTTTTGGCATTAGTAGACAGATCTTTGAGCTCCTCGCATATTTCCCCGAAATAGCCCGGAAGCTTTCGGCCAGAGTCATTGCGCTTTGTTGCCCTCCGTTAAGTCCATCTTGCATTTGAATTGTTTTTTACGAGCAGCGAAAGGTCAAAGCAAAGCGATCAACTTTACTCACAAAATCCGCAGACAATTCTGGATGGTGTGTGAATTTAGACATTTAATTTAATGGACCCGTGAGCTGTGATCACGCCTTGCCATCTAGCACAGTTTCATCGGATAAAAGTGCAGATGAAACAGCATAAAGTTCCACTCAACCGTGGCTATTCCGGTTTAGTGACCCGGTTACATGATCAAAAGGTCGTAGTTTAATTTGACCTCGCAATTCCTAACCATTGACATATGCACTCTTATTACCAAACGCATGACTCATCCACCTTTCTTTTTGACCCTATTGAAATTGTTTCATATAAATGTGATTGTAAAAGCTTGAAAAGCTATTCATCAAAAAAAAACTATGTTCGCCTACATTGTGTTCTTAAACTGTTATATATCGCTCAACATCAGTGAAGGCTTAATCGTAGTTCTGACTGGACACCAACCCCGGATTCTCGGATTTGTGGAATCTACTAGAGTTATGAGCCAGAAACCTGACCTTTATGTCCAGAAAACCAGTCACTTGCACTCAATTGACGGTGTCCAAAAGTGCGAACATGCGCTCCAAGCGCATTTTTAGGAGCTGATGGACTGTCAAACTCTGTGGACTTTTTCTGCTTTCTACACCTTTTCCCATCAAGGTTTAACCAAAACCCGCAATCCTTTAGCCTCGAAAATTTGTAAAATATAAATTTTTTCAACATTCGTCGACCTCAGAATATACCGATAGTTTTTGTTCTGACTCGCCTACGGCGGTGTGACCAAAGGTTGTGCGTCGGGGCTAAAGGACTGCGGGTCGTGGCTAATGCATTGCGGGTTTTGGCTAAAGGAATGTAGGTCAAGGCTAAAGGATTGTGGGTTTTGGCTAAAGGATTGCGGGTCGAGGCTAACGGATTGCGGGTTTTGGCTAAAGCTTGATGGGAAAAGGTGTAGTAACAAACGATATGCGGCGAAACCTTCCTTGGTATATAGCATGCAAAGCATTGCTGCTCCCCTCTATAGTAAAGCTATTTGGATTAATTTCGCTGATCTAAGTTCTCCTTTAGCTGTTCAGTGAAAACTACCTGAAATGCTGGGAATCCACATTAAGCGTTTTGAACCCAATGGGTGACGTGTTTTGGGAACCGTCAACTCACGTGAAAGATAAACCCGAGATCTAACTGATAGAACGTATGCATACAATCCATGTAACCACAGGGCCCTTTCACTTTTTCGATATACAACACAGCACAGACCATCTTCGCAACCCAGGTGCGGGTATCTCACCTTTGTTTTAGTATAAACCGAGAGGATAACGACTCGGTAAGAATACTTCAAACCTTCTTCCATGTACCAGTAAACGGTGATCATTAGGTAGAAAGCTTGTTTTTCTCCTCGGAAACATTTAGCTCGTTACGAAATTGGATCGATGGATTTGCACCCCTAATAAGACCCAAATAGTTGACCATAGGTGTTTAGTTTAGATTTCATTTGCTCATTATACGGTGAAATCTGTCACGAAATGTTATCAGTGCCCCCAGCAACAAAGTCGTGGTTGTACTTATCACTGTTACTGTATGTATTAGTGACATGCTTACTGACCAGGGTACCTCGCATGGTTTATGACGATTGGTTAGGGTCTAACGGCATTGCCGCGACTACGCACTGATAGTTTACAGAACTTATCCTGTGAAGTCATTCACCCATACGTATATTACATGATGAATTCGTGGTGTAAATGAGGCTTGAACTGAAAGGAAGGACTGGACAACTGTTTCGACCTGGTCGGGTCTCATCAGTAGTGCCACTACATCGACCCAAATGAGTCGTGTGCATTCGTGTATGTTCAAAATGATAAACGATTTGATCATCTGCCTCATGGTCAAGTGGTTAGTATGCTTGCTTTCGACCTGTGAGTTCTCGGGTTAGATCCCCAGTTGGATAATAGATTCGCACNCTAGGCTTTTCTAGCTTTCCAGTTCACGCCACCTTTACACGCCGAATTCATCATGCAATCAAATCAAATTCTCCATTCCTGCCATATAATACGCATAAATAAAGAAACTTATGCATAAGTCACAGTATATACCGTACATACATCCGCTATATGGACCAATATCTGCGATATTTTACCACCTCATTTATGAATGCTGCTTCTTCACTGTAATGCATTACGAAATATTGTCTTTCGGGAAAAGAGATAACTCCAATATTAAGCAGAGTATATCATTGCAGTTTGTAGNNTAGTGTACAAAATGAAAAATCATCCCTGAAAAGATCGCATTTAAACCAGGTAGTTACAAATGCATCTGGTGAGTCTAATGGAATTTAGAATTTTTTGGATTTAAGATGTTTGAAGAGTTGTGACTTCGAATTTGCTAATAACATTAGTGAAGTCGTCTTCACGCAAATCATTACTTGTTTATGTTCTAAAGTCTTGCGTGGGAAAAGGCTGATAATTCTCATACTTCTATAAGCACATTATCAGCGCCCAGAGCTTGTTTTCAATAAACATTTACCCCTGAATGCCTAAGATTGATACCACATAAATAAGTATTTGCGTGTCTCATAGTTTCACGATGTTTTAAATTTATGAACGGTAATTGGAATAACCATGCTGAACAACTCGGACTCCGTGCTTTTGTTTTGTAAAGTAGAGGATTTTGCCTACCTTCACAACGCGTTTTGGTTATATTATCATCGTAAATGCCTAAAAGAACCTTTTTATAATTCCTCTTTGTCCATAGTTTTGAGTTAAAAGGATCGAATATTCTCGCTCAATATTTGTTACGCTATATAACAGCGTTATAACAACGCTATATAACATTGAACATTTACGCAGTACTCATTATTGTTCTTGCTCTTTAAAATTCTCCTTCTCTCGATGACGTCAATTTGCAATCTCATCTAGAGTGGCCGCTTGCCAATCGGAGAATCAGATGAGTTCTGCTAATCTGGGAACGATGTTCGCACCCACGGTGCTACGACAAAAGCCAAAGTGAGCTTCAACTGTTGATGATCTCCATGATTCACCACATATGTGTCACTTGTATATCACGATCTCATTTTGGATTGGATTATGTGCTTCCGATGATGATGATGATGATGAAGGTGATATTTTTGTCCAATATTACAAACGGATCTTATTTTTATGACAAGGAAAACACCTGTTTACTGATCTCCAAATGTCCCTTGTTCTGATCCACTGGTCCTTTTCTGGATTGAATGATCTTTCTGATCGACAGTGAAAATCATTACTGCGTTTGGCACCATTCGGAATATATTTTTCGCATACTTATTGAATACGAACTTGTTGTTCGACACTTAAATGGTCTAGCCATTTCCTTAATTATAAAATGAATTTCCAGGTCCAGTCATATTTTTTCCATTCAAATCTTCTTCACAATGAAAATGCTTAATCGATGACGTTTTGAAATGAATTTCTTCCGTAGCATATCACGACGTGTGCCGAAATAACTTAGGCAGTGCTTAAAATGTCATTGAACTATTTTTCTCTTCAACAGAGAACTGAAAAAAAACTTTTACGCAAACATATCACTTTTGGAGTGTCTTTTTGTGTTTCAAGAATTTTTGCGCTATCGGTACAGTTGATCACAAACGATTGCCCGTGTATTTTCTCACCATTTGTAATTTCTAGGTTCCAAGTGGCGAACATGATGGAATTCATGGATAACAAAGGCCAAACACGTGTGGTGGAAGTATTGATCGATCAAGTAGTGGAAATATTCGGTCCAGCCGAACAGTATGACCCCATTCTCATCCTAACCAGCGCTCCACCTGCTGCCGAAGATGAACTAGATTTGCGTCGTGGTAGTGGACCGCTTGCGCGACGGAATACAGCCAGCGAGAAAAGCACAGATACAAAACCAACTTTGTTACATCCACAGGCAGCCCGTGCTCAGTCTACGAATGCATCAGTTAGAGGATCGACCAGCACGGACAATAACGGTGGCGCGGGGAGTTTAAGCACAACCACATTACAGCCCTGTCTACTACGCTCGGCAACCATATCGGCTACTTCACCTGGACGGTCTGCTGGTGCGTTCATCTCCTTTAGTATCACCGAGTTTTTCATGAGTGATAAAAAACATTGGAAAAAAATAAGTGATGCTTGAC